CCCCCCCCCCCCCCATAAAGTTTTGTAATATTCTTATGATTCCCCTTCGCTGGCAGTTAATTAGCAGTCAATTTTCCTCATTCACCCTTTGTACTCTGTTGGCGACGACTGACCTTCCCTCTGTTCCTCCTATTGTGTATCATATCTTCTTTATTTTAAATTACATACTTGCTCTGATAAGACACAAGTACCTTCTCACCTTACTCGCGTATTTTGTAAACGTAGTGAGCCCAGTGCTCCCCAGTCCCCTCCCAACAGTTCGTGGCCTGACCATATTTCATGAAATTCTTATCGTCAGAGACCCAACACTCTCCGTAGAACTGCACTGCGAAATACATTCTGCCTTCCGTTTTCGCCAACTCATAGCATCTCTGCACTGCAAAACAACGCGTCACTGAATAGGAAGACATTTGATGAAAGGTCCAGGAAAGGGGAAAAGGGATAGCGTGACATTATTGGCTCAAATTGACGTTACAAGCTCGCGATCGTTTATCCGACCAGGTACGCCGTGCGCTGCCGTAAAAATCAGCGATAACAGCTTTATCGAAACATTTACCGAGAACATACTGAAAAAATTACGCCTTTTCTGCAGGCTAGTGTAGGGAAGGAGAGGGGTTACTCGCTTTAAAATGTGGGTGACGAAGTTATGGGTCGATTGCTCATAGGGACTTTGCTCATAAGTTACTTTGTGACTGGAGAGAAACTTTAACCTTGATAATTTGATATAAAGTTTTTTAAACACAAACCTGTTTTGCTCATGTCATACCAGTCGATTTCTCTACGAAGATTTTTTAGCCACTTCATAGTTCGTCCACCTCCAGGTCTGTCTTCCCAGCAACCCAAATTATGGTACGGCCCAAATTCATAAACAGCATTGTGTGACAATTTGCCCACACCTATCAAAGAGTTAGAGAGTCAACAGTCAAGATTAAGATACTCAGACTGTCAGGTAGTCAATCATACTGATCAATCTGGTCAGTCAATCAGTCAGTAGGTCAGTCGGTCAATTAGTCAGTCAGCCAGTCGGTTATTAAGTCGGTCAACCAGTCAGTCAACAAGTCAGTCAGCCAGTCAATCAGTTAGTAAGTCAGCCAGTCAGTCATTTCGTATGTCAGTCAGCCAGTAAATCAATCACTCGGTCGTTTAGTGAGTCGCCCGGCCGGTCAATCGGTCGGTCAGTCAATAAGTCAGTCAGTCAATAAGTCGGTTAGCCAGTCAGTCAGTCAGTCAATAAGTCAGTTAGTCAGTCAGTAGTCAGTACGTCAGCCAGTTGGTCTGTACGTCAGCCAGTTAGTCAGTACGTCAGCCAGTTAATCAGTACGTCAGCCAGTTAGTCAGTACGTCAGCCAGTTAGTCAATCAGTCTTTCAGTCAGTTAGTCCGCAGCCAGTGAGACATTCAGACCAGTTAGTCAGTCAGTCCATCAGCAAGTCAGTCATTCCATCGGTTGGCTAGTCTTTCAGTAAGATAATCAGTCAGTTGTCATCAATTGTCGAAATGTCACTACAATTTTTTTTCACACCTTATTGTAACCAAACAAATACCATCCTTTTGGAGTGTAGGGTGAGGTAAAGATACATATCACCAATACTAATAGGTTTTGGTTGATCAGTCAGCTAGACAATCAGCCCATTGAAATCATGGTCAGTTAATCAGTTAGTCGCTCACATAATCATCAGCCAGTAACAAATTTTATTACCGAAATCGCAGCCACTTTTTGCAGCTCTCATTTTCTTGTAGTCAGGATGACCTTGTTGCGAATAGCACTCGGCGAAATATTGTACACCAAATAGGTTGAAGTCTTTGCCACTAGAGATGGCGTCCCTTGCACACAGTAAAACATTTTCCCCAAGGTTATGCCAGTCGATTTTACCTCGATGGTTTGAGTAAAAGTCTGGCAAAATCCT